TAGAAAGGCCACTAAAGTTATATTGTGACAATAACTCTGCAGTTCTATATTCTAATAGCAACAGGAGTTCATCTAAGTCAAAACACATTGACATCAAGTTCCTGGTTGTGAAGGAAAGAGTACAGAGTGGACAGATTTCCATAGAGCATATTGGGACAAACTCCATGATTGCGGATCCGCTTACTAAGGGATTGACACCCAAAGTCTTTCATGAGCACATTGCTCATATGGGTGTTGTATATCATGAGGATATCAAGTTTTAGTGGGAGTTTGTATTTTCATTGCTTTATGTTTTGTACACATTTGTGTATTTGGATATTGTTCTGTACAGAAATAAAGTTATCAGTTTATTACACTCTGTTATTATATTCAGTATCGATCTCACTTAAGAAATAAGGTTGGACCAGTTGGAAATAGACATGTTTGGGTCACATAACATGTAATTTTCGTGCTACACTCCATGATTGATCTATGTCATTTGGTTATATGGGTGTACGTGACCATTGATGGATTTAGTCACGTTAAATGTGACGAAAATCGCTTTGATCCTACATCGATGTGACTAATGGACGAGATTGTTTGAAATACCCATAATAATAATAATAGCAAAAATTTGAGCTCATAAAGGTTGTGCACATTTGAAAGGTTACACATTTGGCCCAGTGGGAGATTGTTGGTACCATTGATGGATTTAGTCACGTTAAATGTGACGAAAATCGCTTTGATCCTACATCGATGTGACTAATGGACGAGATTGTTTGAAATACCCGTAATAATAATAATAATAGCAAAATTTTGAGCTCATAAAGGTTGTGCACATTTGAAAGGTTACACATATGGCCCAGTGGGAGATTGTTGGAATATTTTAGCAATTTGGGGCCACATGTAACATATTAAAAATGTGTGTGCTATTATCTAAAGTAAATTAGTCATTAGAGTGATCCACTAAAGATAAAGTTTGACTAATGGGTATTGAATTTCGTGGAATTAAAGTGTAGAGACCGGAAGTTTGTTCTAAATTGTTGAGGGGCCGATTTAAAACAAATGAAAGATAATGAATGGTCATTATCTTATATATGGGTTATGGTCCCCATTTGAGTGTGTTCTTCAAGGTTTCTACATCCCCATCCATAGAAATCAAGATTGAAGTGAAGTTCACAAATCAAATTGGAAGATCGTGATCCTTTCAGGCTAACAATCAAGATCGTGATTCTTTCAGGCTAACAATTTAATTGTCATGGATTCGGGTATGTTTTATGTTTATGTTCATTTCTAGATTTCAATATGGATATGGATCTAGGGTTTTATGTGAAAAGGATTTGAATAAATTTCGTTATTCCTTTTTCAATTTTCTATCAAGTGGTATCAGAGCCGTCCATAATTGAAATCATGAGAATGAAATTTTAAGATTCTAAATTCTATGAATTATTGGATCACTATGTTATCAAGATTTATAGCATGTTATATTATAGAATTCTAACATTTTATGTTATAGATGTAGAATTTGAGCATGTTATAATATTGTTATTTGATTTTCATGTTATATTATCAATTTTTCATATTATGCTTTGGATTTAGATTTTGAGCATGTAATAATATGATTTTCGGATTTATTCTATGGATATAGCATGAAATAATAAGGATCTATGTTTTTCTTCAAAATTCGAATTTTGAAATTGGGTTTTTTGGATTTCGGATTAAAAAAAAAAAAAAAAATTTTTTTTTAAAAATGGCAGCCGCCGGCTGCTGTTACAGCAGCCGGTCGGCTGCTGAAGCAGCAGCCCGGCGGGCTGCTGATGAGTGCAGCCGCCGGCTGCTGTAACAGCAGCCGGACGGCTGCTGT